GAGAAGGAGATAAGGATTCATACATAATATCCAAATTATAATAGAGATATATTATTTTTGGATTATGTCAGTCCTGTCAGAATGAATAAGATTATAAGAATAAATCAAGATTTCAATCGGACCCATATTTACCTGTCAAATTATTATATAGGCATGTCTACATCATCTTGTCAAAATTAGATGCAGGTTTAAGTTACACCATACATTACAAATCTCGTCCACCCTAGTCAAATAAATAAGTTCTACATGAATAAAAGTAAAATGTAATCCAACATTTTCAGCAGAGTTGTAGATCTAAAGAGAGTTGAGAGAAAAATTCTTCAAAGTTTATATAAGAGAGTGTGCAAGGGGAGTTATACTTATGCAAGGATAACTCAAGAGTCTTACAATTGCTCTCATATATTATGAAGAATATAATTTTTTCTATGAATATAAGTGGGATTTGTTGGGCTACATTTAATCTTGCAATAACTTTTTGCTATGTTATTTGATTATTGATCTATATGAATTTTTTTTTTTGGTTCTCTCCATCCCGATTAATAAATACTTGCAAAAGTCTATTTCTTTCCTCATTGGATAATATTATACAACCAAGCCACTTATAAGGCATAATAATATATACAAATAATATCTAACAAGCCTCAAGAAAGAGGCCTAGGAAAAAAAAAAATCATGTGTTCAATCATATTTCTACAATACATCGGTTATTATCATGCCAAATCAACTACATCATTACTCGAGTTATATTGATGATCATTCTAACCGTAAGTGGTTAGAGTGCCTCAACTATAAATTGTAAATTTTTTTGCTCTCTTATCATGTTTCTACCCTTTAACCGTTCTATTTTCAAGCTCACATTGACCTAATAATGGATCTCTATTAGAGTGCCTCAACGAGGCACTCTAATAGAGATCCATTATCGATCTTTTCTTGCAAATATTTGGCGAGCACTTCACTATTACTTTAAGGAGTTCTGCATCAACGGTTGAGCTCTACATATATAGCTTTGGAGACCTTTGGTCAGGTCACTCTACTTTCACACCTGATGATGATCGACTTTAGAGTAAAACTCCTCATCCCTTGTTAATCCACATTTTTTTATAATTTACTGATGGATTATTCCACGTCAGCCCTATCGATAACTATATGTCACCCCATCAGCCCTATCGATCACTATATGTCACCCCATCAGCCCTATGGATCAGCTAGACAAGAAGGCAAATATGTGTTTTTATGTTTCATGGTCCTTGAGCAAAGAGATAAGGTATCTATTAGGGGATACACATTAATGAGTGCATCTCAATATTAATGACCTATTCTCTCACTGCATGCGTCGGTCATCAGAATTCCACAACTATGACTCAAAATTCCATTTTGATGATCACCAGAATTCCACAACTTTGATCATGACATCCAGTGGTATTCATGCCGCTTAGACATTTTTTCTGCTACCATATTTTCACTTTGGCATGCAAATTACTTTTTCACTACTCTTATCAAACGAATTATACAGCAATGTCACAAGTCCACGGAGAGGTCTACGGGACGATAGATGATGTGGTGACTACTATGCCGTGGCCGTGTAATGCATGGTATTGTACTGTCCACTAAAATAGAAAAATACAGATGGAGAGAAGATCAATGTGCGGTGGATTTCAGGTCGTGTTAGACGTGTCACTCTTTTCATGTTAATTCTTTTTAGAGTAACTTTTTTTCATTGTGTCAATTACAAAAGGTTGCTATATTAGCAATCAATAGAATATGTAAGAGAGGAAGAAATATATTTTAGACAGGAATTTGATGGTTTTGTATTTTGTTATATCAGCAATTTGAGAGGACGACATCAATGTTGAATTATATGCTTCCCCTTTCATCGTCAAATTTTCTATTTTTTTCTAAAAAAATAATAACTCAATAAATCGACTACAAATGTTTTGAGGAGAGATTAAAAACTTACAAAGATCACCATGAAAATTTTGTTTCACAAAAAGATGATGTTTTGAATGCTCCGTGTCATGCACGTTGCATGGTATCGTAACAATGTAGAAAGATGCTGGTGTGGAGAGATCAATGTTTGGTGGATCCCTTTGTCGTATTTGATGTGCTCCACGTTAATTCTCCTTAGATTGGCTTTGTCAATCAAGTGGATATATAAAGGACGGAGAGAGAGATTTTACACAGGAACTTTTGGTGGGGGTGTATTTTGCTGGATCAGCAATTAAGTTGATAAATCATGTGAGAGAATAACGTGTATGTTGAATTATGCTCTTCCGTTGCTCGTCAGTTTTTTTTCTTGTTTTTCCAAAGAAAGGAAAAACTAATAACTCAACAAATCAAGTACAAAAACTTCTCTTTCTTTCGGAGATTAAATGCACACTTAATTTGTATACGTCAAGTCAATCATATTTATTTGTATACCACAAGTCAAGTCAAGTCAACCCTGTCCAAATATGAACGAGCTGAATGAGATTGAAAGGACGAGCCAAGATTTCAATGGGACCATATTGCCTTGCCATATGGCAGTGTAAGCATGTCTATATCATCTTCTCGGAATACGATTTAAATGAAAATCGAGATTGCGAGTGGGTTTCTTAACCTGATCTTTCTGATGCCTAAGTTAGCCTCGATGTGAGCTGAGACATCAATTCTTTTGTTCGATCATATGTCTGCATTGATCAAGTCGGAAAGCCTCAGCACATCAAGAGATCCACAGCCCTGTGGTGTCTTGACAGAACCTATATTTTCATAGACTTGCTTCATCGTTGGGCGCGATTCTGGGCTGTTGTTGGCACAACTTAGTGCCGCTGTTAAGACTGCAATTACTTCATCTGCAACTCGAGCCACAGGAAGTGATAGACGTTGGTCTAATGCATCTTTCACGAAGACATTGTTACCAGACGGAGATGACAGAATGGAGATAAGTTCATCTCCATATGCTCCTACTAGCAACTCAAGCGTGACCACACCAAAGCTGTACACATCACATTTGGTGGTTACTCTCATTGTGTAAGCAAGCTCTGCAAACAGCAACAGCAAATAGATGAAACTTCCAATTTATAAAGATATCCAAAATATATACGATTGTCAAATACTAAGTCTACGTATGCTTCGATATAACAGTAAGTGAATAGGGGATGCAAAATTTAGGATCATTTGTCTTTAATGGATTAATCTGGGAGAGAAACTTACCTGGTGCTAAGTAACCCCGTGTGCCTGCAAGCATAGTCCAATTTGATGAATCCGGCTTCAGTAGTCGAGCAATTCCAAAGTCGGAAACACAAGCGTTGAATTCGGAATCAAGTAGGATGTTGTTGCTGGTAATATCTCGATGAACGATAGGCGGTGTGCAGTCATGATGCATGTAGAACAGAGCACGAGCAACATCCTTCACGATGCTCACCCTCTTCACCCAGTCCAATTCGGCTGCAGTATCACTTCGGAGGACAGATCCCAAACTTCCTCTCTCCATGTACTCGTACACGAGAAATTTGTGTCGGGGAGAGGAGCAGAACCCGTAAAGCTTGACGATATTGCGATGTCTGATTTGAGTACGAGTTTCTATCTCATTTTGAAAGGGTTGCTCGTCGAATGTACGTTCAGTGTCTGGTAGGTGAATCTTCTTCACCGCTAGCAGCTCCCCACTTGCTAACTCTGCTCTGTAGACACTGCCGTATGCACCGCTTCCGATACAGTATTTGGCATCGAAATCTTCGGTGGCTTCGATGATGTCCTTGTATACATCTCTTCCATCAAAATTCAATATAGAGAATGCACCTTCTATGATGTGATTATCATCGACAGGTACCGGCTGCTTCTTTCTCTTGTGGAATCGTAAAGCAGCTCCGATGAATATAAACAGGAGAAGGAAGAAGACGACGGAAGCAATGATGGCTATTACAACCACTTTGTGGCGCTTGCTTCGGTCATCTTTTGTTGGAGTACCGAGTGTGACACACTGAGGCAATCCTCGAACAACTCCACACAGATTAATGTTATGGGAAAACCACTCCGCTGGGGCTCTTCGGAAAGCTGGGCTATCGGGAATAGGGCCGTCCAATTCATTGTAGGATACATCTACGGTAGACAAGCTCGTCATATACGTTAGCGAAGATGGAAGATGACCCGACAAGGAATTATGCGATAGATTCAGGCTTTGCAGCATCACCAATTTGCTGAGTTGGGATGGAACCTCCCCTGTTAGTGAGTTGTGGCTGACGTCAAAGGTGTCTTGAAGGTGCACCAGATAACCAATGGCCAAAGGAATGGTTCCACTGAAGTTGTTGTTGTTAAGCTTCAACGATCCGAGGTTCGTGCAGTTGCCTAATTGATCTGGGATTCTTCCTGCCAAGTTGTTGGATGAGAGATCAAGCAGTCGAAGATTGGACAGCATTCCAAACTCCAGAGGCACCTGACCGACGAGTTGGTTGTTGCTCAAGCTCAGATTGTAGAGAAGGGTTAAGCTGCCGAAGCTCTTTGGGATCTCTCCTTGTAGGTAGTTGGAAGAGAGGTCCAGGTCTTCCAGTTTCGTCAACTGCCCAAACTCGGTAGGTATGACTCCGGAGATGTTGTTATTTGAGATTCTCAAGCGCGTTAGATCGTGCCATTTTGCCCAGTCCGGTGAGAGTGTACCGGAGAATAGATTGAAGCTCAAATCCATATAAGAAAGATGGGGATACACTCCAAGATATTGAGATACATCCCCGGTGAGTTGGTTGTGTTCAAGACGGACCCTCACTAATCCCGTACAATTCTTCAAGGACGTAGGAATGGGGCCTTGGAAGTTGTTCATGTAAAGAGTGAGGTACTTTAGGGCTCCACCTTTGCATATATCTGGGGGTAAATAACCGAAAAAGTTATTTTTTGACAACTGGAGTGATATCAGTCCAGTAATATTGTTGATCTCCATAGGCAAAGGTCCAGACAACAGATTAATGAGTACACATAGATATCTGAGTTTGCTTAACATACCAAGCGACCGAGGGAATGAGCCAGAGAGCTGGTTCACCTGGAGCGATAAGAATTGAAGTTGGGTCAGGTTTCCAAGACTAGATGGGATAGACCCGGAGATTTGGTTCTGTTCGAGGAGTAGTTCATTAAGCTTGGTCAATCTCCCCAGAGAGGAAGGGATTGGACAACAAAGCTGGTTGCTACCAAGATGCAAGAAATTGAGTTGGGTTAAGTTTTCCATAGATAAAGGAATAGAACCTAATAATAGGTTTTTGGAGAGATCTAGGTTGTTGATCTTACCTAGATTTCCAATTTCAAATGGAATAGAACCAGACAATTGATTATCACTAAAGTCGAGCGACTTTAATTTGGTCATATTTCCTATAGAAAAAGGAATTGAATTTATTAATAGATTTTTCGAGAAGTTGAGAATTGTAATCTCAATAAAATTTCCAATCTCAAAAGGGATAGAACCTGAGAGCTGATTTTCTGATAGCAAAAATGATTGTAGCTTGGTTTGGTTTCGGAAAGAAGATAGAACTCTGCCTGTTAGATTATTATTGGAGATTGATAAGTAAACGAGATTAATTAGATTTTTCAATTCTTGAGGAATGACTCCAGTCAATTGATTTTGGTAGAGATCCAAGTGGTAGAGCTTTGTCAAATTTCCTAAACTAAAAGGGATTGAACCAGATAACCTATTGACCCCAATATCCAGATACATCAACTTGTGGAGCCTCCCTAACTCCTTAGGAATGACACTCGTAAGCTTGTTATCTTTCAGGGACAAGGACACAAGGCTGGTGAGGTTGCTAAGAGATGGAGGTATAGCACCAACTATTTGATTACGACAAAGACTCAAGAATTGAAGCTCTTTCATGGAGCTCATCCCAATTGGGATTTTGCTTGTGAACCGATTGCTGGTGAGATCAAGAGATACGAGCCTGGAGAGAGCGGAGATGGTCAGAGGAATTACCCCACCGAGCTGATTGTAGGAGAGATTGAGACGGAGAAGCGATCCCAAAGTCGAAAAGTCAAGAGCATCAAGTGGCCCTGCCAAGCCCATGCTCGGCAGGGATATCTCGGTGATCGCCGAACGCCCTCTACCTGCGACGGGGTAATTGCAAGTAACTCCGGTCCAATTGCAAGGACTAGAATTGAGGTTCCAAGATCTCAGGGATTGACGACTCCGAAGAGTGGCTTTCCAGTGGAGCAACGCTCTCCCTTGGGATCCGAGTGAAGCTTTGACAAGAGGAACACGGGAAAGCAATAGCAACAGCAGCAGCAAAGTGGCACAAAGCAAAGTTTTGTGAAGCTGAGATGCCATAAGTGCAACATACAGCAAGACAAGAAGAAAAATATGTGATTTTCTGTTACATGGTACTTGAGCAAACGAGGTAAGGTATTTATAGGTGATACAGATCAATGAGTGCATCTCAATATTATTGACCAATTCCCTCATGCATGCGTCTGTCACCAGAATTCCACAACTATTACTCAAAAATTCCTTTTTGATGATCATGACATCCAGTGGTATGCATGACGCTTAGACTTTTCCTCTCCTATGTTTTCTTTTTGTCTTTGGCATGAAAATTACTTTTTTTTTCCTCTTATTAAACGAATCATACAGCGATGTCACAAGTCCACGGAGGGGTCTACGGGACGGGAGATGATGTGGTGAATGCTATACCATGTTATGTAATGTATCATAGCTTCCACTAAAATTAAAAGATACAAATGGAGAAATCAATGTGTAGTGTATCTCATGTCGTGTTAAACGTGTCACTCTTGCCACCTTGAATATCTTTGGAGTAACTTTTTTTCGTTGTGTAAATAACAAAATATTGCTATATTATCAATCAAGTATATATATATGTATATGTATATGTATATATGTATATATATGTATATATATATATATATATATATATATATATATATATATATATATATATATA